GGTTTCGGCTTTCCTGCCTGGGCTGTCCACTAGAGGTGCTTTCAGATTAAACTCAAGAGTTGCATGGAAAGCATTTGCTTGGTGCCCTGACCTCTGACACCAGACCCTGCAGCACAGCACTTGAGCTCGTTTGGGACCCCAGACTCATCACTTTTTTTGCCTTTCATGGAAACAGAAAAGTGTAAGAAAAAAGCAAAAAAAAAAAAGCAGCTTTAAAAAAAATGTTGAGCAGTAACAACCAGGCTAACTCATGAGCCAGCAGAAAATGGCAAAAGTCTTCCCAACGCAGGAGCCAATGTCGCTGCTGACATCGCATGGAAACACCCAGCGCGCCATGACCCCATAAGGACATCACCTGGGGGCTGGGGGTGTGTTTGTGTGTGTGAGCCAAAGCCAGAGTGCCAGAAAGACCAGGGGAGAGGAGACAAGAGGGAGAAGTGTCATTTGGGTCTCATAAGAGCACTTTTAAGTGGTCTTCGATTCCTGAGCGTCACAGAAAGCGGGACAAAGGAAAGGGACAGGGGCGTATGGCTTGAATTCCAGAGAGCGCGCGCCAGTGCTGCTCTCTCCTCCTCGGGTTTGGTTTAGTTGCTTTTGTTTTATTCCCCCCCTCTCCAAATTGTAAAGTTTGTCATCTGTGATCAGAGGAGAGAAGAGAGACTTTTTGTAAACCAGAACAACATAGATTATTTTTCTTTTGCAGCTTTTATTTCCTCGTGGTAGACACCGGTTTGGGGGAGAGCAGAGAGATTCTTGTGAGGAGGAAAAAATTATAGGAAAGGAAAGAATAAAAAAAAGCTAAAAGCCAACTGTAAAAAAACAAGAAGAAAAAAAGTGCTACGGTATTTCTTTTGTCCCTTTTGCGATTTGTGTAATACTATCAGCCAATGCTGAGAACGATCTGCTATGTAAGCCCACAGCTAAAATATCACTCATTTGAACAGGGGATTTTTTTTCCATATTTCTTTTTCTCTTTTTTTCTTTTTCTTTTTACTTCCATTGGCTTTAATAGAAAGTCTTCCTGTGCTCGCTTGGATTTTTTTAATTATAACACGTCTAACTGCACACGACAAGCGGGATCACCTGGTAGGCTTCTGCAGGCTCTCCCAGCCCTAGTTAAGATGTGATTAGTTTCTAAGGAGAGTTTGACTAACACCATATGCCATCAGATTACTGTGCAGTTTGGAAGAAATCCCAAGGCTATATCCTCCTTTTCTTCAATGCTTCATATGCTTCTGTGAAGCAGTGGCAGAGTATTACTATTATTTTTTTAGCAACTAGGAAGAATTGATCTCCTCCATCCGCATTTTCCCGACTGACTCAAATGTCACGGCAAAAATAATCATCTTTTCAGGTGGCTTCTGTGTGTTTGTGTGCAGAAGCTTTTGCAGGTTGGAAGGCTAACAACAGCTACCTTCAATATGCCTTTGCAGGAAACTCATTTAAAATGCTTCCTGCTCGGATATAGATTATCCAAGTGATAAGGCATGACTAGAGGGAGGAAGAGAGAGAGCGAAAAGAAACAGAAATCAAAGAAACCATAACGTGTCTAAAATGTACAAATCCTCTTTTGCCCCCCAATCAGATATTCACTTAGGTGGAATCGACTGTATCTTTTGTACACAACCAACAAATAGAGAAAAAAAAAAACAGGCACGTGAAACAGTGAGGTGTGTAGATGTATTACCAACACAGAATGACCACCAACGATACAACACACAAAGTAGAGAGACAAGTATTAGGAAAATGGTTTAATATTGGAGACAGAAGCAAAAAACTGCATCACACAATAACATACGTTACAAAAATAAGTCTGACTGTTTCAACTACACGGTTATGTTCACAATGAGGACAGAAGAATCAGAAAAAACTCTGATCTAAACAGCAAAAAAGCAAACCCCTAACGTTTTAACTAATACATTTATCCACGCAAAGTGACCGAGTACTCCTAATTCTAATTACCTTATTGTGTAACTGCACGATACAGAATAAAAAGTGAAACTTACCGCTTTTGTTAAGACAAAATTCTAAACACTAGATATAAGCAAAGGGAAAAAAAGAAACCAAGCCAAAGTTTTGAATTCTCTAAACAAAACCAACTCTCTTTCTACCGTCCGGAAATCAAACTTGAAAATCAGTCATGATCGAGGGGGCCCACGAGAGTAAGCCACAAAAATTTCCATTTGTTTTTTAATCTCCAGTATAAAAAGTTCCACTGGTACAAAATGCGTAATTACAATCAAGTTGTAGAAATAGGAAAGCCTGCTTTTTTTTGTTCTTTTTTTTGTTCTTTTTTTGTTCTTTTTTTTTTTTTGGCTCAAATTCCATCAAACAACAAAATCCAAATGCATCAATAAAACAGAAACAATACTCAAATGGTCTTACAGTTTCCACTAGATTGCATTAACTTTGGCTTTTCTCAGACAATACTTAAAAACTAGTTTGTAATTCTAAACAAAATGATAGTATTATTAATCTACAAACAACAATTCTCACAGCACAAAAAGAACACAAATACATAGGTTTGTTTTTTTTTTTTTTTCCTTTTTGTATGACATTATCCAAAAAGGTAATGAAACTACAGGATATTTTTTTCCTTTTGTTAATTAGCACTTAAGATAATAAAAACAGAAACAGTAAAATGATTCCAGAGTAGCACAAGCCAAGGAACTGTAACCCCTATGGTGAAAGAAAGATGAACTTGTTACTCCTTTGAGGACTGCCATTTCATTGCAATTAGCTAATTTGTTTGAAAAAACAACTAGTCGAGTCTTTTGATTAGAATTTTGTAAAGCAAATTCCCTTGTTTTTCTTCCTCTCTTATTAGGCCCTTGCACCCTTGCAGCTTTTTCCTTTCAATATTTTGAAAGAGATCTAGTAGAGAATTCGTCTCCACAGAGGTGTATGTTTGGGTTTTTGGTTTTGTATTTGATTTTGAAATTGTAATTTTCTATTTCAAGATGGACACTTTTCTCAGCAACGACCCATCTCAGTTGCCTGGAAGTACTGAAACGTTCCTCCTCTCCCACTGCTAAGCCAATGCCCCATGCAGCGTAATTCGGGGCAGCCCGGTGCCAACTTACACTGCCCGAGGACCAAAGGCACCACTGCTCGCACTGGACTGGTAAACCCGCAGGACACACTAGGGCATCTAAAAAAGCTTTGGAAATTTATACGGTGGGGACAATGAGAAAAATTAGTGAAACAGTCTGAACGATCCAAATGATGATCTCATATTATATATATATATATGTACATATATATAATATAACGGACGTGAGATGATACTTTGACTATGCAAAATTGCTGCAAGTAGTACAAAATAGCCCTCAAAGGGTGTAGGAAGGCCCCAGCAGTAGTAAAAACATGTGAGAAAAGTATAGATCATTTATTTATAAGTGCATGTGCTATAAGAAGGAAACTTTTTTGCATCACTAGAGGCTAGTCCTTTCCATCCCAGGGCTCTACATAAAGAAGCATTTAAGTTGGGGATGAGAGACAAGAGTGCACCAGCTGATGTTGTTCAGATAGGGCTTCGCTTTTAATTTTAGGCGGCTTCGAATAGAATCGGATAGAAATAGAAAGTGGAAGAAAGTATGGCACTTTATCATCAGTAGCAGGTACTGCTGCTCACACGCATTGGATTGGCAACGAATTCTCTATACCGGTAGCAAAAAAACCAAATTAGGTTGTTGGGCACTACTTGCGGTAGAAACGCAATCTAATCAGACTTACAAGGCAGTGAAAAGGGCTACCAGCATCTGTTCTGGTTCCTTACACAGAGCTTCCTCCAGCAAACACCCACATCACTCACAAATATATTCCCATGGACTACTTGTACGAGTAAAGTTACTCCTCTCTGTACGAGTGTCTGCAGGAGTAAGCCAATATATTGCCGTCACAAATAATGGCAGATAACACCAAACATTACAGTGTATGTAAACTTTATCCATAAAAAGTAGTTTAACTGCAGTGCACACTGAATTTTCACCCAGGAAGATCTAGTGCATCTGATTTAAGCAAAAGTTCATTTATTTAAATTACAAAAATACTTTTTTTTTTTTTTTCTCCTCAAGGTTTTCAAATGGTGGATTGACCACTCCTGTCTGGGAGTGGCTCACACAATAGATAATTAAAGAATTGTTTTCTTTTTCTTTTCTTTTATTAATACTGAATAGCATATTCCAGCAGCATATTAAAAGCTCTTTAAGAAAAGACAAAATCCCCAAAATCTAAAAAGGAAAACCACAAGTTAATTACTGTTTTAAATAATTTTAGTTATAGATACAGAAGAAATTTAGACAGCAGTAAAATATTTTTGTCCTTCAGATCTGCCCTGTGCATTGTTCTGATTTCAACCATGTATTAAATAAACCACAAAAAACTAAGTATATATATATTT